GGTGCAGACAAGGTAATCACAGAATCACAGAATCACAATGTTGGAAACGACCTGCAAGATCATCCAGTCCAACCCCCCTCCCATTCCTATCAGTACCACAAGCACTGAACCATCTCTCGTAGCTCCTCATCCAGGCACCTCTTCAACACCACCGGTGACGGAGACTCCACCACCGCCCTGGGCAGCCTTTGCAGTGCCTGACCACTCTTTGAAAGAAAAAGTTTCTCCTAATGTCCAACCTAAAATCAAATGGCAGAAAGACATAGCTTGGCTTTGGGCAAGCACCCAAACTTTCACAATGTTCCTAGGTAAATTAGAGGAAAATGCACTCCTAAGCTAAGGGCTTGTGAACTGTTTCGCAGCCAAAACTACTTTCTCAGAGAGGAGTCCAACCCTGCAAACATAGTGCAGAATTAAAATACTTAAACAACCATTACAGCAGAGATGTGAATATGCTCCTGTAATTATAGAGCTGTTTGTTCATTAAAGGAGAAATTTAAAGCAATTAAAATATTTACAATCCTGCACACTAAAAACCAAAACAAAATTAGTGTGTACCAGAGATGCAGGCTATGTTGCCTCTCCTCCAAATTGGTCTTTAGACACCAGGGCTTACAATGGACTATCTGCTTATGGAGTGAGCAGAAATTTCCCCTTCAGATGATGCAATCCAGAGTTAAGAATTGAGCTGTGACTGAAGGGTCGCTAATAATCTTTGAGATAGCAGATTTGTCTCAGACGTGCCATGTAAAGTTCTTGGGATCAGAAACCAAAGGAGAGAGGACCCTAGCACAGCTATACAGAAGGGCACTGGAGCTGTGTGGGATGGGAAGACATGCTGCTCAAATTCTCGCCCTCCTGCCTGCTCTCTGAAGGCTGCAGCTCTGAGATTAAACAGTTTCACTCCTCTGTTCAAATGAAAACAGAATAGAACAGACCAAAGGCCATCCCTACCAAGAGTGCAAAGTGCAGGCACAGAGAGACACAAGACCAGAGCAGACAGAAGTGAATGCAAGCTGCAAGCAGCGCATTTGGGATCCAGCTGTAAGGAGAATAGAGAAGCACTGCTTCCTTATACTCTTCCCACAGGACCTGCCCCAGTTTTCACTGCCCATGCATTTTCTTCTTGCTCTCTGCTTTGCCCAGCAGGTCCCAGTACAGCTATGCTGTTCTCCTGCCTTCCTTTCCTGACTTGCTACTCCTGGGGATGGAGAGGTCTTGTGCTCTGAGGAAAGCTTCCTTAAGGCTTTCTCTCACTCTTCTGCCATCAGAAATCATCCAGTGATGAGAATCAGTGCTGAGATGGCGGATGTAGAAATTGTAACTGGCAGAGCTGAAGGGACAGAGAAATGTGAATGAACCATCAGAACTTTCCACCAAGAGTGGCTTAATATAAGATCAGCTCTCAGCTGAAGATTGCGGGGCAAGCTGAGGAAAAGCTGGAGCCAAAGCTTGGACAGTTATAATACTTAACTTTGTTCTAACGCTGGTTACTGTTGGAAAAGATAAATGAATAGCATACTGAAGGCTGCACTTCTTTAGACTGCTTTAAATGAAGTGTCTGTAACCAAAGCATCTCCACTACATCATTCCGACTGAATATATGCTAACAGGAAGTCGATTAATCTCTACCAACATTTGTTCTTTTGAGTGTGAAACTGCTTTAATGAATGTATTCTCAGTGGTCAGTCACTGCTTACTCTGGAAGAGCCTCACACATTCCATAAAGCACTGTTTTTTAAAAATCCCTGTTGGAAAAGTGACAGTGACAAATTTTGAAGCTGAATTGCTTGGCATATGTGATCAGTTAACGAAATATCTTCCTCATCCCTATTATTTAATTCATTTCCTGTTATTTTTCCAAATTAGGCAGTAGTCTTCTGCCTTTGGCTCTGAGTCCACAAGCAAGCATGCCATGTCACCTGACAAAATTTAATTTGTACGCAAGAAAATTGCTTTAGTGGGGGTGGTAGACACCTAATATTTACTCATTATTTTCTATAGTCATTAAAATGTTTGAAATGAACAAAAGCCATGGGCAGCCTAGGGAGCATCCTTCGCTGCAAACAACGTGGGGTAGCAGAGCCCACTGCTGGATGGAGCAGCTGCACCTGGTGTGTGAGCAGGGCACACCTGCACTGCTCCAGGCAGAAGCCAGTATGGGAGGGAGAACTGAAGTGCATGGAGTCTCCCATAGATAGTAATTAAAAAGAAAAAACAACCAAGCACGAAACAAAAGAAAGAAAACCACTGAGAAACTGAAAAACACCACAAACATGGGCCCATGTCACTGTCTGAAGCTTCCTATTAGCTGCAACATTTGCAGCCAGATAGGTCAGAGGAAAGCTCCCTGACTGCACTTGTTTTCTCTGGTGTCAGCTTTCTCAGTTACACTCGGTTGCTGTATTGTGTGATTGTGCACAGGCAGGTTTTGGTACATAAGAAGAATGCAAGTCTAGCTTCTGCTTGTGGCACCACAGCTCACAACAAAACAGATGTGAAAGAGATCAAAAGGGGGAAGTGTGGGTGAACTTGTGCTCCTGCCTTGCAAACAGGACGTGTCAGCAAAGTCTCACTGCTCCGCTGGACAACAGAGCTGCCAGATGTGCCCACAGCAGTGTCTGCTTGGCTGACGTGCCCTGGGGTCGGTAAGAGGGGCATTAGGAAGGTGGTGGGCAGAGAAAACAGGATGCCTTTGCAGCAGGTGCTTACTCCTCTCCGTCTTACCTCTTCTTTGCTTTCATCTGCACCTCCTGCAGGAGCTGCCTGCAGGTATTAGGTGGCTTTTCTAAGCAGGAGGTCAAGTGTTGCATGATTATGGTGATGGATGTAGGACTGCTGCGCAGCCACCCCTGCACAGGGAATGGCAGCATGGTGAAAGTTCACTGATATCCTCCCAGTCATAGGGCTTTGTTGGTGGTGGTTGTTAATTTCCCCTTCAGAATAAATATAGTAATCCAAGTTTGTGTTGACAAAGTCCTTCAGCCTTCTGCACGTTATCACTGTTCGGAGGTCTGTGCTGGGAGAATGATGTCCTGAGCAATTCAGCCCCAGCAGGGGGGCATCCACTGGCTCTCACCTGGCCTGCCCCAGAGCAAGGGGCTGTTTCAGGTGTTTCTCATTTGGAGCCAAGGGAAGAGATCTGAGTCCTTCAGGCAAGAGGTGGCTATAAGAGACGGGAGACACTGCAGCATGACAGGACAAAGTGTATAAGGTTCCCAAGAGAGAACTTTGCAGTGGCAGAAATCACCAGTGTAGGAGTACTTGGAGGAAAAGTCAGTGCCGTGGTTTTCAGCAGTGGTTGCTCTGAGGACATCCACGCATGCTGCAGAGTTAAAGGTGTTTTTCTCTGTTCATGGAAGTGACAGGAAAGGAAGTAGGTAGTTAAACACCTTATGAACACAGCCTAAGATGGGGAGAAAAATAAATGTTAATTAAATATTAATAATGAAAGATTTCAATCATTCATATATAAATGGAAAGATAGTAGTACCATGGGGACAGGGAGCAAAGCAGAGCTCTAACCCCCAGCATGTGCTTCACACACACCTTCTCTGTACACATGGCAGAAATCTGCAATTTGTGTGGCCATAATTATATTCTCAGTGTCTCTCCTCAAGCTGTCTTTGACAAGTCATTTATATTTTGCCAGCTTTCAAGAGCTTTTATAGAAAAAAAAATGTTAGCGGCAGTTCTCTGCTATCCTGCCTGTCTCTTGTTGTCTGTCTGATGATTGATTTCCAGTGGGAGTCAGTTTTTATTCTTGAAAGGATCCAGACTGTTATTACTGCACATGTGAGTGGTGTGATGGAGGTACCTGACAGCCAGACGGGTATCTGAGCGAAGGGTTCAATGGCTGAAGGAAGTTCTGCACCATGTGCAAAGCACTGCCCAGTGCCTTGTGTCTGCATCAGACAGATAATGGAGCAAAGACAACACCAGAGGAGCAAAATCACACAAAGGGAAAGAGCACAAACTGAATATTCCAAAAAAGTCAGGGGAAATAGTAAATTCTGTGAAGACTGAAAAATACAACTAACAGCGGGGCGAAAAGTATTGATCCTGACCTATGTATCTAGGCAAAAACCCCACTAACAGAGAAGAGCCTCCCCCTGATCTGCACTGGTATCAAGACTTTGGGCAGATAGAATTGGATGGATACTTCAGAAAAGGGAAAAGAGTCACGCTTGTCCCAGCGGAGTCTGAGGGCTGTTGGCAGCTCAGTGTGCTGGAGGTGAGGTTTGTGGGTGGGTAAACAGAGCCTCCTCAGCACAGGACCAGGCCCTGGTGACAGCTGAGAACGAGCTCTGCCAGGACAAACACGGTGCATGGCAGCTGGCTACAGGGCATGCCCAAGTTGTGCTGCTCAGAGCCCAGCTCCAGCTCAGAGCATCATGTGCTGCTCTTGCACAGGCCAGCTGGTTTTCCTGGAAAACACACAAAGGTTACATAGCTTGCACCCTCAGCCACGGAACCCCCCCATGTCTCACTGTCTGTGTCAGGCACACAGCTGGGCTGATACAACACTCACATTGCTGCTCCTGCACTGTGGAAGGGAAGGCACATGTCAAATGTTAGGCTGTGCTGTGCCCTCAGCAGCCAACAGCTGACGAAGGAGCTCGCCTCTTGTAGCCTGGTGGGCAAACACATTTCCCCTCTCAGGGAGCCACGGGAAGGACAACGGCCAAGTCTTGAGGCAGCAAATGCACAGGGAAGTGCCACTTACATGTGCAAGGAGCCATCAGCACAGCAAGGCACCGTGCTTCCTCACCACAAATCAGTCCTGAAGCCTCACTCTGCTGCAACAGCAGTGATGCACGGTGCGATCCTGGCACTGAGCGAGCAGAGCAGTGAGTGGGGATGGCACTGTGCAGGAGTGACCCAGGGAGCAGTGCCTGCAGCAGGGCTGTGCAGTGTTGTGCAGGCTGGGGAGAGGTCTTTTCCAGCCTTGGTGGTTCCATGATTCTACAATTCTATGATTTTAACTTTTTTCCTCACAGGAGGATTTGTCTACTGATAATATCAGTGCCATGTGCTCTGGCACCCCTGTTTGCAGGATGCTCTGTGATCACACATGAAGCCGTTCCACGCACTCCACCATCAGCTGCTGCTCTCATTTACCTACTTCCAAACTGCCCCAAATCCACCCTGCTCAGAACCATAAAGCAGAACAGGATTCCACTAAACCGCTCCGTGTTTTGATCAGTAGAAATCTTCTGGGACGCTCATAACATCTTTTCACTGTTCACAGAATCACGCGGGTTGGAAGGGACCTCAAGGATCATGTAGTTCCAACCCCCCTGCCTAGCAGGGCCACCAAACGTACACATTCACACTGTTCTTTGAACAAAGAGAAGAAAGAGGGTTTGGTCCTCCCAAGATCCCATCCAAGCACAGAGACAAATGCTGCCAGAGCCCTCATTAGCACTCTGCTTTGTTTTTCACTAATCAAGTCAGCATGAATGATGCTGCTCGTGATTGTGCTTGATTGTATTGGTGCTACAGATTGAACAGTCCATTTTTTAATCTGCAGAAAGCAGCAGCATTATCGCTGAACTATATTTAGAGGCTTCGTAGATAGCACACTCTGTTCTCTTACTGCTTCACTGTAACAGGATCTTACACACAGAGCCCCAGGGAAAAGCAAGCGTGCTCTACACAGGTAGCTGTGCATGATGAGCATGTACATTTCTGAGTCATCAGTCACTCCAGGCCCTCCTGTCTAACCAACAACACGGTGGTTCCATACAGAAATACTGCTCCCACGGATGCTGTGGCAGAAGCTGCACCAGTGGTGGAGGCTGAGGCAAAGCCTAGCAGATGCTAAACCCAGAACCCTCTTCAGGGGATTAAAGCCAGGTCAGTAATGAAATTGAAAAGCAAAAATTTTATGACTTCTGTTTAATAGTTTTATTAAACTCTAGTCAGTTTCAATGTCACAAAGACAGAAAATGCTGTATGCTCTCAGCTCCCACAAAGGTGATGATTAGTCCCAGCTTTGTTAGAAGTCAGCAAGAAATAATGTCAGTAACTGCACAGAAAATAATCCTGCTCCAGTTTTAAAACATTAAAACCATTATCTCAAACAGCACTTTTGGTTTGGTATTTTTGGATTCCTAAAACAAAATTAGGTGGGGTTGATAAGGAAGTGCACTCAGGCTACACACTCACTGATGGAGGAAAAGATAAATGCTCACCTCCATCACACCCTGAGTTCAGAGCTGCTAAATAAAGCCCGGAGGTGGCACTGTAGTTTTAAACCTCATGGACAAAATCACGTTTTGTAAGTTGCACCCACCTTGCCTGCACTTATACTACATCAGAATGAACAGAGATGTTTTCTGCTCTGATGATAAAAAATAATTTATATGTCAGGCCTGCAGTTATAATTGCAGGCAAAATATATATATATGAACACGGGAAGTAGATTTCTAGGTAGCTTTAATCCTCAGCCATGGTTCTTCAAGGCCACAGAGGCTTGAAGGCGATGGTGCAGCACCACTGCAGCCAGAGTGGGATCTATGGGGCAGCTCCACATAGTTTCCAAGGGAGGGGAACAAAGGCCTTGCAGCCCCCTGGGGCACAGCTGGAACATCGGGTCCCCCACCCCTCTCTGGCCATGGCTGCAAGTGTCCCACAGTGAGGGCCTGGAGCAGAGGCACTTCTTGGGGGGGGGGGGGGGGGGGGAGGGGGTGGCTCTGACATCTCTCCCCCACTGACAGCTCTCTGGATGGCTGCCAGCACAGAGCCCCACTGACACGGCTCTGTGGGGCAGCATGCAGCCCTGCACTGACCACCAAGCACCTGCACCGCATCCACGTCACATCCTGCCCTAATGCCAATGGCGTGTAGAGGTATGGCTACCCTGGGACCCACAGCCACACTTAATGGCAGCCATGAGGGAAATGGAGCGCTTGCCTCACTTTTGCAAGGCTCCAGCTGATCCATTTGCACTGAGTAAATAGTTATGTTTGTTTCCTCCATAGACAGCAGATAAAGAACCAAAAAAAAAAAAAACCAAACAAAACAAAAACAAAAAAACCACAGCCAGAGCAATACATTTGTTTGCTTTAAGGAGTGGAGTCCACAGTTAAGATTCTAAACCATGAAGCTACAGGATCCCTGCAATGACATTAGTGGAATGGTTCATACATCTGCTCCACTGAGAGGAGGGCACTGACATGTGCAACATGAGTGACAGAGCCCCCACACCCACCCAATGCCACTCTGCTCAAGGCTGTGGCACTTCTCAGCCAAGAAGGGCCATGCAACCGTTCTCTAAACAGCTTTGTACTCATTTACCAATCCATTTCTGTCCCATATTTTTGCCTGATGTCAAAAGCACAGTTCCTATTACTCTGCTCCTCACATTCACTTTACCTTAATGCTGACTGTAAATACAGAATTTGCATAATGAATGGTATTTATGAAAACCAATTGCACTCTGTACAGGTGACCCTGTGACTTCATTACCTCTGAGTGCAGAGATCTGCAGTTACACAACAGTGGAAGGGAGGGAGCCTGCTGCCAGCACAGGGATGGGGCTGCGAGGTGGTGGGGAGGGTGTGACAGGGTGTGCAGCACTGATGGGCTGCAGGGATTGAATGCACAAAGCCAGTGCTGGAACAACACAGCTGCTGGGATGGGAAAGCAGAGTCAGAGGCTCACTCCTCAGTTACAGGCAGTTTGTTGCACTGCTACAGCAATTGAAAAGCCATTATTAGAGCACGATGCTTCCAGATTTGTGTAACATCCAAGTATTAATGATGCTGCATGAAGAAAAAGTCATCCAATTTTGCCTCTTTTCCAGGAAAAATGAATTTAGTTGCAAAAACACCACATTCTGGGCCTAACACTTTACTCATGCAGTCTCCAATTATCTCAAAGTTTGTGAAATCAAGCTTTTTCCATTCATATGTTCCTATTTCCTATTAGCCACGTTTCTTTCTGTCTTGTTACAAAAGCCTCAGACCATCTTTGTGAAGTCCCTGAAATGGAAAAATAAATGAAAACTCTAACGGAGAGGAGCACTGTGCTGGGGTTGGGGATCAACATTGACCCACAGGGCCTTTTTGGGGCAGGAAATGGGCGGCAGGGCCTGGCCAGGGGCTGAGGTCCCATTGCCTGAAGGCAGTTAATTACAGGGAAATCACCGTGTTCCCAGCCCAGGCTCGGCCTTTCAATGAGGAAGATGCGAGATAAAAAGGAATTATTTTTTTTAAATACCACAGCAGCAGGTTTCGGTTCCTGGTAAGGGCTTAACGCACCCAATGCATCGAGCTGATCACGTCTGCAGGGACAGAGGAAGGCCTGTGCTGGGGCTGCACGCAAACCCTCGCACAGAAGCACTGTGGGAGGCGGCAGGAAGGCCCGGCCCCCAGCACCTCGCAGCCTCAACCTGCTCAGGTGTCCAGCAACAGGGCAGCCCAGGGAAGGCAGGGCTCAGCGACCCCAACCCAACCTTCACCCCTTTCTCCCTCCGGAGGCTCCATCACCTCTGGAGAAAAGCTCCACAGAAGTCCTTGGGTTGCCCCACCAGGCACCAATGCTCAGATGGGTTTGGCAAGGCTGAGGGCTGCTGCCCTGCAGTGACTTCAGGACGTGCTCAGCCAACAGGCCTCGACACACTGTGCTGCTGCACCACGAGCCACCCATGTAAATGCAATCGACAACTTGCTCTTCCAGTGAAGCAAGAGGGAAGGACAAAGGAACAGTAAATACGCATCACTCACAACACAATTCACTGAACAATCCTGCAATTATTATTCTTTCAGATAAGTCATAAATAATGTAGCAGAAAGAACGAGACCTAATGAGAGAAAAGGAATCTGCAGCGAGGTTGTTTATCAGCCCTGCCCAGAAGAGGAGGAATCTGCATCTCTAACAGTGAATTCCCAGGCAAGCAGCAGAGACAGCTTCAAGAGCCACTGCTTTGTTCAAGTGCTGTGAGACACAGTGAAGGATATTTCTCAATTGTTTTCCTTCCCTCTTCCAATACCTTATCTTCTGCATAGGCACATCTTCCTTGTGCTGAAGATCCATTACATTTGGCTATATCCTCTGTGAAGTTCACCACCATGTTTTCCAGCTGCTCTGCTTGGCAGGATCGTGGCTGCACAGAGCAGGGCAGAGGCCAAACCAGACAGCACTGCCTCAGACTCTGAGCATTCACTTCACCTTCTGCCATCTCCCAGATCCGATTCAATATCAGATATTTGCAGTGATTACATTTGCATTTGCTTGTTAGCAGAAATAGCTGATACCCAGTTATGCACAGTGAACAGCTCATTGTAACCCTCTGCCTTTTGTTTCAGCACTATGAACTCATCGGTGAATTTACACCTGATTATTTAAAGCTGACTACAAAGGCCTGAAGGAAGGACCTCACACAACTGAGCATCAAGAGAGAAAGCAATGTAGCCCGCTAGCAGTGGATGTTTTCCAGCATGGGTTTGAATCATCTGCAGGTTTTGTGTCCCCAGATGTATTGAGCTTTCCAGGTTAACTACTTAAGGAGAAACAAGGATAAAGTGTACTTGCAAAATAAATTTGGGGAGAGCAAAGGAAGGATAAGGGGTTCCTGCAAAACACGATAAAGAAAAAGCTGAGAAGAGTTTCAGTCCCAAGGATCTGGTAAAGCAAACTTATCTTGGAAGTATTTGGCAGGAGATGCTAGCTTAGCATCTGCACGTAAGTTTTGTTTGCATAAAACCATGACACCAGGCAAAACAAAGAGTGATGGATTCCACAGAAAGCAAGTGTGGCTCTAGTTGGGCAAAGCAACAAACTCTGGTGAATCAAGGAGAATGTGAACCCCGAGTAGCTCAGCCAATGGAGAAAGGGGGAAGGGCTCACTAGTGTTGGTATAGGGATAACAAAGGGGCTGTGCTCCCCAGAATTTTGAGACCCCACAGGGGTATGGCCTGTGGACTCTCCCTTTATTCAAACAAAGAAAGATTAAGACTCTCCTCAGTCTCTTTTTCTGGGATAAAAGACAACTGAGCAAGCTTATTGGAGCTGAAATTTTCCTAACATCTATGAACAATATATACTGAATATGTTTAGTAGAAGCAAAAGACAACAAATGCTCTCTCCACACATTCCACAGCACTGTTACTCCATAGAGAACATTTGGTGAGGAGTTTATCAAAAGCTTCTGGAAATCCAAATACGCTGTAATAACCAGGTATCTC